CTGGCTTGGTGCAGCCATTTGGGGCTGCGTCTAGCCAGAGGTTACGGCCAGGGGGGTTCCCTAAGCTGGGAACTTGATGTTCCTGATAGAACATCAAGGACCTCAACCCTTGATCATGATTTTGATCTAGGGCAGAGGTCAACCCCAAATTTTGGTTGGGGGCAAGGTTGCCTTCAGCTGTTGCCCAACTATAAAAGTTGGGCTGGCCAGCAACAAGCTCATTCATTTGAGGTGTTGCCCACACTCTACTCGAGTGCTGGCCAGTTGGTGAGAGGAGTTGTTGGAGCTGTTGAGTGAGGAGGGACTACTGGTTGGAGGAGGAAGTAGTAGTGGAGGTCTGCAGTGGAGGTTGAGAGAGAAGGCTGCCATAGCCACCATCTCAACAAGGGTGGAGGTGTTGCCGGCCATAGCTGCAGCCATAGCGACGGTTGTGAGATGTATGCTGAAGATGTACGCATACTTGACGGTGGCTGTGAGATGTATGCTGAAGATGTATGGCAGCCTCTCGGGAGCACAGTAACCGGAGTAACCGGAGTATGCATACTTGACGGTGGTTGTGAGATGTATGATGAAGATGTATGTCGAGGTTGTTAGCTAGTACAACATATGATTGGTATAAGGAGAGCGATTAGAAGAGGTGGTAGTCAGTGACTGTCGAAGGAGTTACGTTTTCTTTCTTTGATTTGGGAAATGAAGGTTACTAGATCTAGAATCCATCTTTTTCTCTTTGGAACTGGTTGTATGTGTTTTGGGATCGGTATAATTCTCCTTGGGTTGATAGCTTGAGACTATGCCGAGAGCGTGCGGGAGATGTAGCCTGATTTTTAGGAGGTATGTGCGTTTTGAGAACACGATTAGGACTCGGCTGTTTCTACTGCTAGATACCTACATCCAGCGGATTTGTCGACCTGTTTTAAGCACGATCCGACAGATAGCCGAGTTCCGGTTATGCGCTAGAACTACGAGACGGCTACGATCGGTGTGGGCTAGGCTTTGGAGAACGACGCGGCCAGTACGATCTAGGAGAGGATCGGGTGTTACTAGGCCAATGGATTTTGTTGAGATTTGGCGCCAGTGATTTACGAACTTAGCCCATTTGGACGTTCTGCTGGTTTTTACCTTTCTCAAGGAATGTATAATAATGGGAATGGCGGTGGGAATAATGGGAATAACGGCGGGAATGGAAATAACGGTAATGGAGGTGGCTGGGGAGGGAGATCGAATGGACCGCAGTGTTACAAATGTGGGAAGTATGGGCATATTGCGAGAGAATGCTGGATGAAGAAGGGCAGACCGGCGCAGCAAGATGACGAAGTACACCTATTCGTTCGAGATTTGATGAAGGAAAGGGAGGAGAAACGGAAACGAGAGGAAGAAGAAGAGAAGCAACGTCTTAAGGTAGAGAAGGAGAGGAAGCGGGAGCTTGATTTGGCGAGAAGGACCGAAGAGATGAGACTGCAATTACAGGCTGAGATTGCAGAGAAGTGGAGGAAACAACAGGAAGAGGCAGCTGAGAAGATTAAGGCAGTGAACGCGACTGTGGTCGAAGGGAAAGGGCCTAAGAGTCCTAAGAGCCCGAAGACTTTACCGAAGAGCAAGAGTATTCGAAGAAGTAAAGAGAAGAGAAACGACACAAAGACTAGAAGACGGAAGATGGAAGTCAGGCGACTGGTTGTCACGTCTTCATCCTCAGAAACGGACGAAGACTCTTCAATGGATAGTGATGGTTCCACAGATTCGGATCGCGGAGCGCTCAAGATCATTAAAAAGCTCCGAGAGGCGAAGAAGAAAAACAAAGGCAAGAAGTCGAAGGCTAACACGGTCAGGACAAACAAGAAGGATCCGCCTAGAACTTGGGAAAAAGGGGAGTGCTCGAAACGCTCGTACACACCGGTATCGACACTCGGTGACGACGCGGAGCCTAAGACACCACTTACGAAAGGGTATAAAGGGATCGCTGCAGGGTGCTCCCAAGAGGCCATGGTAGACTATACACTATCCGTAATGAAACAACTCTCCTCGAAGAAGGTGTCTGAACTGAAGGAGATGTGTGAAAAGCACAGCATCAAGCCGGCCAAGAAAGATGAGATGGTGAGAGGACTGGTGAGAAAACAAACTGAAGTCGCCTATGATGGTTTCTTCACTACCCTATTGGCGAAGAAGACTACCTCGATGCGGATTGGAGAGGAGAAGCCGCGGACCCAGAGAACACCGGAAGAGGTGGTGAAATCGAGGATCATCACCAGGGGCAAGGCGAAGATGACCGAGACACCCAGAGTTGTTCTCCGATCAGCGACCTCCGGAGGATCAACACACGAGTCCGCTCCAGAATCGGATTGACAACCACCGCCCACGTCGAAGGACGAGCTTTGGACGACACTGCGTACCTGCTTAGCCGAGAGAGAGACCCTCTAGGAGCAGGGTCTACATGGCGAAACAGTGGCCTTTGTAGAAAGATGGATCACCACGTGCGCTATCTTGCTGGGACTGAGCGGAGACCTCAAATGGTTGGGAAAGTACCTCGATAAGATGGATGTATCGGAAGCGACCCTGGACATGAAGACTGGCGGAACCTATGCGATCGTCAGCCCGTGGTCCGAGCGTGTTTATGTAGGTTACACCGCTCGTCCTATCTTGCATAGATGGAGACAGCATCTGTTAGTTGCGAATTCGAAAGCGTTGGGTAAAACTCCTCAGTTGTACAGATGGATGAGACGGTTCAGAGTGGGTAACTTCGTGGTGCTTCCTATCCGACATACTACGGAGAAGGACGATTTAGCCTTTGAACAATATATGATCAGAGATTTGTCACCTAGCCTAGACATGGTGGGCACCGGAGGAAAGGCTGGTAGGAGAGCGAGGCGACGGAAGGGACGACGGGAAAGGAAGGGGAGATCCCCTCGTTCGTCCGGACAGACGGTGGTTAAGTTTATAGCGGAGGGATTAGAACGCACGTCATTGTTGAACAAGCTAGATGAGAGAGCACCTCTGAAGGGAGGGGCTATTGATGTCGATTTCAGCGCAGGTTGCTCCTGGAGCGATGGTTTGTCGAATATTGCCGCAGAGTATGGGGAATCGATCGTACTCTCTGAAGGGAAGAGGCTGCTGCTGAAAGACTGCAAGATGATATGCCAAGCTGGAAGGGTGGTCAAGCTCACTCAGATCCGGAGGACAGCAACTACGACAGAGAGGAACAAGCTGATGCTTTAGAAACTACTCAACCAACCCTGAATGGCGACCTCGCTCGGGCACTACACCTCAAGTAAGCTGGTGGGTCTGTACATGACTACCGGCCTGTTTGGCAAAAAAAAGACTAGGAATAGACTTAAGGTGAAGATAGACCGGGCCGTTAGGAAGAAGACTGGTGTGAGTATTAGAAGGAGAACTACGGTGAAGTACCCTTACTGTAGTATGGTTAAGAAGACAGAGGTTAGGAGAACGACGGAGACAGTGATCGACTCCTATGTGACAGACACAGCGATCGCCACTTTTATCAAGAGAAAACTGCGAATAGTCAACACAAAAAACAGGACTGTCGCAGATATCATCCATACGCATAGGAGATTTGCACATACTGACCCGGTGGTCTGTACCTGTGACGGCTATAATCTAGAGAGACATGAGGGACATGTCCTGACTCACTTCACAGACATGCACGATGTACCGACTTTTATCCGATACTCGAGGAATGTGATAATGAGCGCACGGAGCTTGTTAAAATCCGAGTTGATCAAAGGGATCCTGGCGGGAACGGCTTACTTGAAGCAGGGCAAGAAAGTGACCATCGATATGGATCGATGTTTCGCTGATTCGATGCAGAATAAGGAAACTTAGACTGATCAGGAGGTCAAGGGTTGGGCCACTCGGTACGAGGGACTTGTGCTTGTTCCCATTGACCGTAACCCAGGCGATACTGCAGTAGTCTGCCCTGTTCTGTACAGACATGCCTTTGGCTGCATGTTTGCCTGGAACAAGGATTACTTGAAGGATGATAAAGATGAAGAACTCGTGCTGGCTGACTGCAAGCAAGCATACGTGAACTCCAATCTGTCTACTATCGGCACTTGGAGGAGTGATGGTAAGTTGGGTAAGGCGTACATTATCCCAAAAGACAAGGATCTCCAGAGATGGAAACCGATTGCACCAGCTTGCTCTGATCCGGCGATGTTGGGACAAAAGAGATGCGCCATAGCCCTGTACTGTCTCATCACTAGATATGGACAAGATAGGAACTTCCACCTCAATTCCTCCGCCACTTTTTGTCGGGAGCGCTCTGATGTGGGGGTATACTTCAGCGAGCTTGATTGTACTAAGGCGGTGGGCAGATGCTATGACGTGAAGGATATGTTCACTTCTTTACCACACGAGGCTATCAAGGACGCTGTTTTTGAACTCATCCGGCATTTCGAGAACCCAGGTTGGCTGCAAGTGAAGGTAGCACTGAGGGGAAAGTTGTGTACATTGTCAAAGACAACGAAAAACGATGCAGGCTATGTAAGTGTGAGGTTGCACACGATTTTTAAGATGGTGGAGTACGATTTGGCGCATGCTTTCATACGATGTGGTGAGCTTATTAGGAGGCAAACAGTCGGCATCCCCATGGGAAAGACCATGAGCCCGGTTCTGGCTACTGTTACTTGCTCGATGGCTGAAGATAGGTTTCTGAATTCGCTAGGCTCAGATCGCAGATTAGTCAAAGGTTGGAGAATGGTGGATGATATCTCGGTAGTGGTGGGCTGTGGAGATGCTGCTGCTTCTTGGGAGAAGGCCTTTTCGATCATTGATCGTTTCGAAAAGGCGTACGACGCGAACCTCAAATTGGTACGAAAGGACAATGATACTAATACGTGGGATTTCATCGGAGGTGCCCTGTACGTGGATACGGATCCCCTTCGTGTACATTTCGTACAGGAGGTCGGGGGTTGAGGTACCATACGATGAAGGATTTCGCAAGCTATTCTGAGAAGAAGACAAAAGTCGAGGTATTGTCGGCTACGCTTAAGAGGTTATGGTTCTCCACGACCTCCGGGGCATTGGGTGTGGGTGCTGTAGCCTATGCTATTTTGGAAAGTTACCTCCGGGGTTACCCCTCGGAGGTCTCTCTGGGTGCCTTGGCTAAATTAGCCAAGGTTGCGGGGGACAAAATCCTTGGAGTTTTAAGGCTGCTTTTTCGTGTTTTTCTTCGCCGTTTACCCGCGAACGGCTGAACCGCTGGCCCTGCAGGAATGAAGGTTGCAGGCAGTTTTCCGACACTGCGGCCTGTCCTAGGACAGACCGCAACGGTTTGACGACGGGGACCTTAGTTGCTGTTTTTTGAAAGTTTTCCTGGTAGGTTTTTACGGATCTCGTCGCTCCAGAACGATTTTATTTTTATTATTTATTTTTTATTGTATTATTTTATTTTATTTTTCTCGCGTTTTTTCGGACGACATTACACGGCTAGTGAGTAGGGGAAAGATACTGACATAGATATCAGGACGAACGCGCCTTTATGTCTGTTTTGATCTGAAGACATCTGAAGACTATGTATCTAGCCCAAAATAGGGGTTGGGTACATTTGGATGGTTTTCACTTAGGACATAGGCATGTGTACCGAGGAACTTACAGGGAAACTACCGGAGAGGCTGCGGAGACAGCCCGGGTTATTATGTCTGTTTTGAGTCCGGAAGCATCCGGAGCTGTTGGGTATTTCTTTTCTGTTATTTTTTTTTTCTTTTCTATTCTTGCCTACAATAGGGGCTGGATTCATTCGGTCAGCATTTTGCTTAGGACTTAGGCACGTCTACCGAGGATTTTACAGGGAAACTACGAGAGAGGCTGCGGAGGCCGCTCGAGAACATATAATGATCAGAGGCAAGGCATAGGGCCTCTCTTTCGACAGAAACGCTCAGAGGAGCGTACCTTCCTGATAAATCCACGCAGGCGGGAGAAACCGGTCGAAGGACTTCTGCTTTGTCGAAGTTTTTAAGGAGATGGTGGCAACAATAGTGAAGAGTTTCTGCATGTGTGAGATGTGGAATAGTTTTATGCTCTTTGAAGGTTGAGCTCGTGCTTACAGGTTTGTTCGAAGTTGCGTGTTTTTATTCCTAAGTTTGCATATGCTTATCCTCTGAACTACTGTGCCCTCCCACATAGGTTGTTTGCTGTCTACCACTCTCTCTCTCTCTCTCTCTCTCTCTCTCTCTCTCTCTCTCTTTCTCTTTCTCTCTCTCTCTTTCTCTCTCTCTCTCTCTGAACGCAAACGACCACAAAAACATGGTGGGCCAGCGTTTTGCCATCGGCCCAACAAACCAAAAATATGGGGAAAAAAATTCTTCAACGGTTTTATTTTATTTTTTATTTTTTTTTCCCGATTTCGTATTTTATTTCTTTCCCTTTCAGTACATGTCACAAAAAAAAAAAAAAATCATAGGCGTGTAGAGCTTTTTTTTATCTGCACGCCCGTATATATATCGTCAAATAGAACTGCCCGGTAAACCGTAGGCAGAGAGGGAGAAATATATATATTGACTATTTTTAGGCCCCAAAAAAATTCTCGAGGTTTCATGCCCCCACTCCGCTGCGGGCGGGATCCCGACCACGGGCGGTAAAATGGCCCGCGGTCGCGACCGCGGGTGATACATAGGGCAGCGGCATGCGTGCAGTGCCGCTAGACGGTTGCCTTACCGATGGCAGTGCGGCTGGTCGACGGGGGGGAAACGGTAGGTAAAGCCTGCTAAGGTTTTTTTGGGCGGCCTGCTGGCGGCAACTCTTCATATAGAAGAATTGCTGGTCTAGCTCCCATAGTAGGAGCTAGCCCAGTACGTACGACAACAAACTTTCACCCAGCGTGCGAGATCGAGCTCAACGACGATATCACCGGGGAAGCTCCTTCTGTAGCTGCCCCAAGTAACGAGCGCCGCCGTTTTTCGGCTATTCGATCGCTAGATCGTACGACTAGAAACAACCGCGCCTGTCGTTGGTGGCCGCCTCGCAACAATGACACGCATAAATCGAGAAGTGGTCAAAAAAAAAATTCCCGTCGTGGATCCCCGACAGGGGTCGAACTCAGGTCCGTGTCTCAGCAGTTTGTGGGGTGTGTCAGGGCCCACAAACTGCCTTGCATTGCAGACAAGATATGAAGGGGGGGCAGCAACGGTGAAAAAGGGCGCAGCCCCGTTGACCTAACTGCATCTGGATACGAACTTGAGTTTGTGTTTCAACAGGTCATGGCTGCCCAATGGCACAATGAACTGCGGCTAAGCTGCAGCAAGGAAAAACCCCTTTTCATTAGGATTCCAACTCAGGTTTGTATTTCAGTAGTTCGTGGGTGTACAACGAATTTGAAGTGGCCATTGGCTTATGTTAATGAAAAAAGAGAAAAAAAAAAGAAAAAAATACAGGGCACTACAACATTAGTGTGAGTATGAGGTGTGAGGCAGTTGATGCCTCACGGGAGATTTGCCCTGCCTCGTTGGCAAAGCACATTGGCAAAGCACCTGGAAAGAAAAAAAAGGTAGAAAATGGGTTCAAAACTTCGAAAGGGGAAAAATTACTTTTCTTGTTTTTTTTGGTTTGCGCCAATATTTTTTTGGTGGCCGAAATAATTTTTTCCTAGGTAGCAAATCCGGATATCCGGTAGACCAATTTTATCCGAAATTTTCAATCCGGATTAAGTTTCCGGATTAATTCCGGATATGGAAAATCCGGCCCTGCGCAAAACATTTTTTTTTTTCCAAAAAAAACAAAATTCAAAAAAATATGGAAAAAAGTATGTTGTTCATATGAATGATATGAACAACGTTTGGCTTGAGGTCATCTTTGATATCTCAACAGATATAAAGATAAAAAATAAAACAGAAGAATAAAATAATATTTAGATAAAAAGTTATAGAATGAATTAAGCATCCCCCCTCTAAACCCCTTTTTTCCTTATCTTACCCCCATTGAACCCTTCAAAGCCCTATCAAGCTTTTCATGAAATAGGAATGTGGTTCTATTGTATTTTGCATGTGCAATATCACTTTTTTTTTTTTGCTTTTTTTTGGCCTTTTTTTTAATCATCCGGATTTTCGGATAATCCAACCCCCCGATCATCCGGCCAGATAATCCGACCAGATTATCCAGCCAGATAACCCATGCTACTTAGATTTTTTCCGACTTAAAAGTTTTTTATGTGTATGCATGGACACCTAAACCATGCGCTTGATTTTTTTGAGATTTTTCAATTTTTTTAGCGAGTTTTTAATTAAAAATCATCAAAATTGGGATACCCCCACTTGATTGTCATGGGGTTTGAACTTGGGC